CCCCCCCCCCCCTCCTGCAACCTTAGATTCAGCACGTTCAGATGCTCTGTGATACGCCTTAAGAAAGCTAAATCAAAACCCCATCCAGGGTCAGAAAGTACTTCTTGAACTTTCTCCTTTCTCCTTGAGAAAGACACCAACTTCATGACAAAGACTGAAAAAACATTTGAGGACTTTGCCTCTGCTAAGCCACCTGGCTTTTGCATGGCGTCCAATACATCCCCATATTATGCATCTATTTCTGAGAGAAGATTTTGAAACTGATGAGGAGTAAGACCACAATGCCTGATGTAATTAATGCTGGATGCAAAAACACCTTCCCACTGGAGGATCTTGTTGCCCTCGTCTTGGTGATGGGTGATGCAGGCATCCCTTGTTGGGAGCCAGTGCTGGTCCAGGGGGTGCCAGGTGCTCATCGGCAGGCAAAGGAGCATCGCGTCTGTCAAAACCTCTTCGAGGAAGTCTCCGTGCTCTTAGGATGAACTGGCACTTGCCTGACCTTTGGGTCTGTAGGGCGTCTCCAGTACTGCCTAAACACAGAAGCAGACTGGGTGGACCATCATCAACACTTTGAAAAATTACCGGGCAGCGTGCTCTGTGGCTAAGGCCCTGCAGTAATGTGGATGCTTGACCACGGGATGTCCGCGTAGGTAACCCGCAGCAAGGTGTGCTGTCTGGAAGATATGCCCTGCAACACTTTAAACCGGTACCATTAGAGGCAGCACCATATCACGCCAAGCTGCCAGTGTGACCACAGCCTGAGAGAGTTCAATTATAGGGCTGGAGCCCAATAGCAAACAAAAATTGTTCTTTTGTGTGTTTGACAGAAATTGGGGGAAGTCTGGAGGAATCAGAATTAGCATTTCTTATTGTCATAAGGTGGAGGGGAAACATGCTGCTCAGAGGAGGAGATGATGGGTTAGAGAAGGGACAAAGACCTGATTGGTCCTCCTGAATGAGGGCAGGTGTATGGGATTTCCAGTATGAAGAGAATGACAGTAGCCTTTGCCTAGCCCAGGGGTTGTCAAACATAAGGCCCGGGGGCTGGATCTGGCCCATCGAGGGCTCTTGTGCGGCCCGCGACCAACTGATGCAAGGGAGGAAGTGCTGGGGGGGAGTGGGCGGAGCCACTCCGTTGTGGCTTCAGCACCGCAGAACAGCCCCGTCTGCAGCAGTCAAGCATTGTGGGAGCATCTGCCCAGCGCTGCACCGCTGCCTCTCCAGTCCGCCAACTCGGAGCTTACCAGCTGCTGTCCTGTATACAGTTTCTGTCTCTGGTACCTGGCATTACGTTTTGTGGCACACATGGCCCGGCCTAACAAAGTGAAATTTATGTCAGATCTGGCCCTCGTAACAAATGAGTTTGATACCTCTGACTATAGCATTGAGTGTTTCATTAGATCGAAATATACAACATAATAATAGCCACAGTGCCTGTGCCGTGCCGTGCTGATTTGTTCCACGGGACTCTTCTAAAGATCCTGTATGTCCTCCCTGAATTATCTCATCATTACTTTTATACGCAGACATTAAATGCAAAGTGTTACCTGGGGCACTATTCTCCTTGGCGGTTTCCCCCGTTTGGGTCAGTGTTGCGCTTGTTGCGCACTCTGTGCTTGAGGGTGGAGGAGAACAGGCTTGGCGGTGTGTCCGTAACCTTTCTGAGCCTGGGATCCCCTGGTGAGTCAGGAGCTGTGGCTTCCAGTGGGCGTGGTGGCGTCAAGGAGGACGGTCTCCCCTTTCCTCACGTACTTTCTGCTGAGCCGCCTTGAAGGTAAGTTGTGGGGACTCAGGAGAAGAAGCGTCTGCTACAGATTTGAACGAGGGCTGGGTTCTGTGAGGGAGTTTGTGTTCACTTGCACGGCCTTCTTTGGAAATCATGCGGAGAAAGGCCCCGTGGCAACTTAGCAGAGGGAACGACTGCCGCCACGCAGGGAACCCTTTCCTACGTACCTTCTGGCTCCCCCCACACGTGGGACTGCCAGCAGAGGAGAGGTCTGCCCCCTGACAAGAGCCAAGTTAGAGTGCCCTTTGGAGGAACAGGTTAAAATGCTGAGGAGTTCTGTATCCTTAGCAAAAGCTGTTTGCAAATTAGGTAGGTGTACCAGTGTAAAAAAATCAGTGTGGAAGCTGGACACGCAGTTTGTGCAACAGTCTCTGCAGCCATACATACGGAAGCAGAGTCCTTGACTGTAATCTCCTGTCCCTCTTGTTTCTTCCAATCAGTGTGTAGTTTTGAGCTGGAAAACTTTCCGTTTGCAATACTGATTTGTTTTAACTTTCTGGCCATTATGCTCTTTTATTTGTTATTAGTTAATTAATTATTAATTTTATTTACGTAGTTGTGTCTCTCTATTTTATACATTTAAACAGCTGCGTAAACTCTCCAGCTATATATGTTGAAATTTCACATATGCTGATGGGTTTACACAAAATTTTTAGAGGGTAACCTGGTCTTTGAGTGTAATTCTGATCAATAGTGGCAGAGTGAATTAAAAATCAATGCAAAAATTAAAAATCAGGTTTGATCTTAAGCAGCACAGACAGAATGATGGTAAATTTCAGCCCAAATAATTTTTTCCCTCTTAAAAGTATCCTGTTTAAAATTAAATCTGCACTTAATGCAAAGGTACCATCTCTTAAAAATGAATTTTATGACCCTCTTAGAAACTCAAACAAGGCTGTTTGTCCTTAAAAACAAAATAGATATCTTCTGCTGATCCATTTGTGTGATGCTTCTATTTTATGCCTAGTAACCCTCCAATCCCTGCAGTTGACTCCTGCAGTGTTCCTGAGGGCCCATTAACCCCCACGAGAAATATTGGGGGGGACGTAAGTGGGCTGCAGTGGGGGGGGGGTCAGTGGAAATTGCCACCCCCCTCTTAATAATTGGAGAGTTCGCCTTGTTAGTCTGTTGTAGCCAAATTAAAGATACATGGCACCTTAAATACAAATAAAATTTATTCTGGCATAGTCTCTCATGAGTCGCAACTCACATCATCAGATGCACGGATGTTGCATTTTCTTAAGAAAATTTGTGTTCCCTTAAGTCTTCAGAGCTGTGTTGTTGGATATGTGCCACTATCCAGTCTGAATGGCACGATAGACAACAACAGCACTCCCCAACCTGCCCTTCTGTTGCTGAATGAATTTATTCCCCTCCTGCAACGTCAGGCTCCTTCAGTGTCCTGAATTCAAGGGCTTTAGGCTTCCAGGAGCTGCTTCATTGCAGCCGGCTAGCAGGAACTTCCGCCCAAAAGTAGAAGTCTGCCAGCCTACCTTAGTGGTTAATACTGTGAGTACGGTTGTAAAGCTGAATGTCCTGAAATGTATAGCGCTGTGTATAGTTGCCGGGGGGGGGGGGGGCTATAAAAAAAACATTATGGTCATGAGCAAAGTTTTATTATTTGTTGCTAAGTGTGAATGTCCTAGGTAACGGGAGGTTATGCACCTGCTCATCTGGAGGAGGCTGGATTGGAAGCTCAGCTGTTCTGCCAACGGCTGCAGCGGGGAGGTGGACGGAGGTGGCATCACTCCACTTCACCACCAGTGGAGCTTTGCTGACGACAGAAAGGGGGGCAGCCTCCTCCCCTTCTGGTTCTTCACTGCAGCCTCCCTGCCTGCCTGCCTGCCTGCCTGCCTGCCTGCCTGCCTGGGTATTTGTCAGTGTGGGTCCTCTGACCCAGGGACTGGCCACTTACTTTACCAGTGGAAATCCTGGTGGGCTGTTGCCCTAAGACCCACCCACAGTGGGGCCCGTGAGGAGAAGTACGGCTGTGGCTGGCGTAGGCCAAAGCCGGGTGCCGCTGTGTGTGCGCGCCTCTCTGCCCAGGCCAGCCAAGAGGAGCGGGAGCACCCTGATGCCCTGCTGTGGCCCTTGGCCTTCGAGACCTGCCTTCCTCTCGCGAAGGATCCTCTTTTCTGTCCTGCTGGAGGCGGGAGGGGGAGCGGCTGCAGGAAGAAGTGTGAACTTTTCCCAGGGCTGTTTTGGTACCTCTGCCAGTCCACCTCTGCCAGGAATAAACTTTCCAGGGTTGGGAAGTACTGCTGGGTGGAGGGTAGAGAAACCTGGGAAAGATCTCTGACTGTCAGCATCTTCCGTTGATGGATCGTGGGACCCAAACCTCTGTGTCCAGATCTTATAATTAGCTGCTTTGTTGTGCAAGTATGATACCTTGTGGCTCAGTCGACTCGAAGTTTTTTATGACTTAAGCCCCACTTCACTGACCAGAAGGTAGCCAAGAGCTCATCCGGTCAGTACGCATTTCAGTTGGGCCTTGCCGATGACTTAGTATCTGTGCCTCTTATTATTATTTTTAATTGAAAAAAAGTTCAAAATAATGCTGGTGTAACCCTGTGCATTTTGCTCTTTAAAACCCTTTGTGCCATTCCCCACAGGAAATACTGAATGCTGGACATTTCACGTGTTCCTCCTGCCAAAAAAACCCACAGCAGTTTTTTCAGTGCTCCCCAAATGTTTCCATTTTTCTGCAGGCAAAATAGAGAAAAGTAATCTGGGACAGTGTGTGTGTGTGGGGGGGGGAGAAGTGAACTTCCTGGTGTTTGTTTGTTTTAAACAGCATGAGGTTTATGGCATTTTAAAATCTTGCTTTGGTAGGCTGAAGCCAGGCTTGCGGCAAAGCGGGCAGCGCGAGCTGAAGCTCGGGAAATCCGAATGAAGGAACTGGAGCGGCAGCAGAAGGAGGTCTGTCAAAGTGCCTTTTTTGTTGTGCGTTTATTTTCTTCACTGTTCTTATCAGAGCCAAAATGTGTCCTGTTTGTAAGAATTCCACGTAACAACCTTGAAATAGATAAAATATGTAATACTGTGGTGAAACTTGTTCATATTCTACTAATTTAATTAGGTAGAAGCAGACAAGACCAGAATTTCCCAAAACTATTTTTTATAACTGTATAGAGGCATGATTATGTTTCTTTATATATAATTGCACAGAAAGAAAGAAAACCTATTTGAGACTTCTTCATTGGTTTGAGTGCTGTTTCCTGATCTCTCTTAAGTAAACTAAATTGAATTAAAAGTGCTGGATTAAGCATGTACATATGACTGCTAGAAGATGCTGCACCAGGGCCAGCTCATGGAGGTGTGTGCTGGAAGAACACTAACATGGTAGGGCCGCCTATGATAGGCCCCAAAGCTATTGGGGTCCCAAGCAATGCTCCCTCTAAGCTGTGGAGTCTTGTGAGCAAAAATTCTACTTTGTGAGCTACTGGCATTAAAGTTGTGAGCGAGTGATTTGCTCTGGAGCCATCCTTCCTGAGCTAAGACAAAAATGTGTGAGTGAGAGGCTAAAAAACTGTGAGCTAGCTCACGCTAACTCAGCTTAGAGGGAACACTGGTCCCAACAGCATCTGTTAGATCCTCCAATACGGGGAAGAGGGAAAAGGAACTGGCCAGACTGGAATGCTCTGGTTCAGCCCGTGGAGAGCCCTGGTGACCTGAATGCCTCATTCCAGACAGCATTCATTCAGTGTAGCCAGGTTCTGGGTGTATCTCCAGCCAGGACTTGTACAACTGGCTGCACTGCTTTCAGGGAGAAGTTGGCCTTGGGTGGCAGTCTCTCTTGCTACGGCCTGGAAGCAGATGAGACATGCATTTCAGCCCCAGGGTCTGCTCATGTGTGTGTTCTGTGCATACAGGAGCTGCACTATGTCCAGTGTTTTAATTGGATTTGTAAGTTGATTATGGGGTTGAAAGTTGTAAAAATTACAGTTGCATCTTTGCAGAAATCAAATTTGGACATGGCTGAACTTTCCTGTCTCTCCTCAAATAAGTTCCTCACAAACTCCTTGAAATCAGAGCTTCTCTTTTTAATGTATCTGAACACAGCATCTTGCTGAAATGACAGGTGACTGAAATTGCGTGCCTTGAACTGTAGGGTAAGCAGTGTTCATGACTCAAAGTGGAATGGTTCTTTTTGCTGTAGTTGGAGACCTATTACTTTTTCAGGTTGTTTCCCTACTGTGAATTCAAGATCATTACTTTTGTGCTTGGAAGCATGGTGGCTGCTGCTGCTGCGGCTGGGCCCGGATCAGCTGCTGGCAGCCTTCTCTGCTATGGCTGGACCTGCAGCGGCAGCCAGTGGCATCCTCCTCTGTGCCTGGTGGCTGGTGTCAAGGCCAAGCTGGAGTGGCTGCCTAGTTATGTTGTTGCGTGCATGCACAGACAATGCAATTGTATTCGGGGAGAGGGGGGATTCTGCCTTCCCCCTCCCTAAGCCCAGCCGGTGCTGGTGGAGCCCCCCCCCAATGCAGGGCCCACAGCCTGGCTGGTGGAGGCCGCTCCGGGTGAGGGAAGCCCGGCGCGGCCGCCAGAGAGAGGCCTCGCAGCGGGGAAGGGGGCTGTTCTCGCGCCTGCCCCCCCGAAGCAGGGCCCGCCACCTCCCCGGGCGAGGCTGCGCCGGGCGGGGGAAGCACGGCGCGGCTGCCCCCCCCCCCGAGGCCAGCGGAGGGAACTCCCCTGAAGAAGGGGCCGGCGCCTCCTGGTGTCCGGCCGCGCCGGGCAAGGGCAGTGCGGCGTGGCTGCCTCCCCCGTCTCCGAGGCCAGCTGGGGCTGGCACAGCCCCTCCCAAGAAGGTGGTGGAGTGAGGCGGACCGCCCACCCATTCGTGACTGACCTCCTCCGCCCTCTCCCATCCCCCTCGCTTCTAATTCACTTTTCTGGGGCTGCCGCTTCCTCCTGCCACCGGGCCTGCCTTCGCTGCGCCCCCAGCCCCTGTCGCCTGGCATTGCAGCCTCCCTTCCCCAGCTCCTGGCGGCGGCGTTCGCTTGCAGCGGATGGCTGGGATGCGGCCGAGCCACCCTCTGCCGGCGCCATGATTCCCTCTCAGTTCTGCAGGCCGAGGAAGGCCACACCGTCGGCTGGACCTGTGGAGGCCTTCCCCTGGTTTAGCCTGCAGATGGTCCCGACCTCTCCAAGGACCAGAGCAGAGTGAGCCGAAGATCCTGGCCTGCGCTGACGTGGGCAGGACTCCACAAAGCAGCCAGCCAACCCAGCCAGCGTCTTCTGACTGGCAGTTCATGCAGCCAACCTCTTTTGGCGCGCATAGAATGTTGGGGGAAATCTGTGTAACATCAGTGTGGCCCTGATCTGTGGGTTTAGATAGCTGCAGATAGGAGAGTGGGCCACACATCACTATTAGTATGTAGGCGTAAGTATGATTGTGTTGTGTCTCTGTGCTGAACCTTGCTGATCCTTGGACAGCATCGCCAGTTTTGGAGCATGTTTCTGGTCTCTCCTGCAGCCTGGTGGTGGCAGTGGTGGAAAGCGCTGTTAAGTCACAGCTGATTTTGGGTGAGCTTGTGGAATCAGCCAAGGCAGGAGGCGTGCAGAGGTGGTTCACCATTGCCTGCCTGTGCCTAGTGACCCCGGAGCCTCCTCCGTGGTCTCCCCTCCAAGTACTCACCAGGACCGACCCCCGCTTAGCCTCTGGGACCTGATGGGATCTGGCTCACCTTGGCCATCCAGGTCAGGGCATACACCTGCTTACATGGCAGCAAATCTGTCCGAGCCCCGCAGGACTTAATTTTACATAAACATGCATAGAAGTGTGCTGTCAGGACCACAGTACCAAAGTGCCAAGTTCACCAGTAAGAACCCCAACCAGTGGGGAGGGCGGTATACAAATCAATTAATTAAAAAAATAAGACTAAAATGAGTAAGGTAGAAGAAGAGATTGGATTTATACTCCGCCATTCACTTGGAGTCTCAGAGTGGCCGACAATCTCTTTTCTCCTTCCCCTCCCTACAGCAGACACCCTGTGAGGGAGGTGGGGCTGAGAGAGCTCTGAAAGAACTTGTGACTGACCCAAGGTCACACCAGCAGCTGCAGGGGGTTAGAGCAGCTTTTAAACTGAATATTGGGGGAAAGCCGACAGGAGATGAAAAGTCTCTGGTTCGGGTTGGCTCATCTGAGAGAGATGAGGGGGTACCGGTTGCTTTTCTACAGGAAGGTGGATTGAAATTGTCCACAGAGGCCATGGCTGGTGACATGGACTGCCGGACAACGACTCGAGATAGCAAGAGGAAGGATGCAGGCTTAACTTGTAAGGGAAATTACAGCTGTTTCTATACAAATGCTAGAAGTGTCCGAGGTAAAATCGGGGAGTTGGAGTGCTTGGTGTCGGAGGGAAAAATAGACATTGTGGGTATTTCTGAAACTTGGTGGGATGAGGAAAATCAGTGGGACACAGTGATTCCCGGTTATATATTATATCGGAAGGATAGGGGGGGAAGGGTTGGAGGTGGGGTAGCTCTGTATGTCAGAGAGGGTATAAAGTCTAGAAAGATTGAGAGGCTAAGTGAATTGGATTCGCTTCTGGAAGTTCTATGGGTTGAAATAGGGGGGCCAAAAGGAAACTTAACACTGGGAGTTTGTTATCGCCCACCAGATCAAAAGATAGAGGAGGATTATAAAATGATGAATGCCTTAAAGATAGCAACTAGACAAAAACACTGTGTAATAATAGGTGATTTTAACTACCCACACATTGATTGGGTCAATATGTGTTCTAGCCGGGAAAAAGAGATTGAGTTTCTAGACACTCTAAATGACTGTGCTATGGAGCAGATGGTCACGGAACCTACCAGGGGAGAGGCGATCCTTGATTTGGTCCTAAGTAACACTCAAGACCTGGTGAGAGATGTAAAAGTGATTGCACCGCTTGGAAACAGTGATCATAATGTTGTTGAGTTCATCATTTGTACAAATAGAGAATTGGCCAAAAAGACTCACACAACCATTTTTAACTTTAAAAGGGGTAATTTCTCTGATATGAGGGGACACGTGGGGAGGAAACTGAAAGGAAAAGTAGAAAGGGTCAAAACAATTGGGGAAGCTTGGGATCTATTTAAAACTACGATCCTAGAAGCTCAAAAAATATATATTCCGCAGGTTAGGAAAGGCACAAAAAGGTATAGGAAAAAGCCTGCATGGTTAACAAACAGAGTAATGGAGGCTGTAAAAAGTAAAAAGAATTCCTTTAAGCAGTGGAAAGCTAGTCACAGTGAGGCTGATAAAACGGAACACAGGCTATGGCAAATAAAATGCAAGTCTGAGGTCAGGCAGGCAAAAAGGGAATATGAGGAGCATATAGCAAAAAACGTAAAAACCAACAATAAAACTTTCTTCAAATACATTAGAAACAGGAAACCAGCCAGGGAGGCAGTGGGGCCCTTGGACGACCAAGGGGTAAAAGGAGTATTGAAGGATGATAGGGAAATGGCTGAGAAGCTAAATGCATTTTTTGCCTCCGTCTTCACTGTGGAAGATGAGAAGTGCTTGCCCACTCCAGAACCACTGATTTCAGGAGGGGTGTTGAAAGACCTGAGTCAGATTGAGGTGACGAGAGAGGAGGTCCTAAAACTGATAGACAACTTAAAAACTGAAAAATCACCAGGCCCAGATGGCATACATCCGAGAGTTCTGAAAGAACTCAAATGTGAACTTGTAGATCTCCTGACAAAGATATGTAATCTTTCCTTAAAATCTGCCTCCATTCCTGAGGATTGGAAGGTAGCTAATGTCACTCCCATCTTTAAAAAGGGTTCCAGAGGAGATCCGGGAAATTACAGGCCAGTCAGTCTGACGTCGATACCGGGTAAATTGGTGGAAACCATTATTAAGGAAAGAATTAGTAGGCACATAGATGAACAAAACCTATTGAGGCAGACTCAGCACGGTTTCT